GTCTTCATAGGAGCAGAGGGATGGACTTGAGGTTCCAGTGGTGCCTACCAGCACTAGTGATTCTAGGAGTCAGGAGCAGCTGCAAAAGGGCTGGTTTCTGTAGAAAGACTAAAAGCTTCTCTTTGATCACTGGTTTTACCTACATGTTCAGGGCTGTGAGTTCGCCCCAGAGAGGAAGGAAGAGGGTGCTTGGTGCATGTTTTCTTTCCTGCCACCAGTCAAAGAAACAAACTCTACAACACATTGCTTGCTGTGCTGGTCTGTAATTCCCTGCCTTTTCCACTCTACAGCATAGATGGTGGAGATGGGCCAGGCCTGAGCATGGGCTCTGCACAAAATCATTGCACAATGTGGGCAGCACAAAGGCACTTCTGTAGAAGACTGGACGTTGAATTAAAAACTGTATCTGTGTTCAAGTCCATGTACATTTGATTTTAAAGCCCTGCATGGTCCTCTGCTTTTCCTGATTTTCTGCTGTGATATGTCCAGGGCATTGTGAAAGGTGAGATAAGCAACAATGCAGTGCTGCCTGGTATTTGCCTGGTGTTTGCCTGGTGTGTTGTATGAAAGCTTCAATGAATCAGTGAATGTCTTCAAACTGGCTGGCACTCTCCAGTCCAGGAGAAGGCAGCTAGGACTGGAGCAGGAGAACCTGTGTAGTGCACAAATGAGGGCTGCAGTGGAGCTGTGCTGCTCAGTGGGTGAGCTCGTGTTTCTGGATGGTTTCTGCCATCCAGACTCTGTGTCCCCAGCCACAGGTAAACCATTGCATAATCCTGAATGAGCTGATTTGAAGAACATCTTGTGAAAGGGGGAAATTAAAATGGAAAGTAAAGGGTAAAGGTGGCAGAAATCCAAACACTTGTTCCTAACACTGGCTGCTGGGAGTGGGTGGAAGCTTGTCCTCTGAGCTGTGCTGCTTCGTGATTTCAGTGCCTGCATTTTCTCTAGACATCTGGTACTGGGTTTCTGACTTTATATGGCACTGCAGCACAAGCTTCATGAACTTACTATCTGTCTCTTTTTCTTCTCCCTCCCTGGTGTGAAATCCTTCTCTAGCTTTCCTCGTCCTTGCAATGGATGGAAACCCACAGCCATATGTAAATGCAGCAATGTAAGGCATGATGTGAATTGTTGGTACTTTCCCAGCCCTGTGAGGAGGTTTCAGTTGCTGACTGCTGTTGGCAAAGGAGGGAAAAATCACAGAATTATAGAATGGTTTGGGTTGGAGGGGATCTTAAAGATTATCCAGTTCCAACCCTCCTACCATTGGCAGGGACATCTTCCACTATAGCAGGTTGCTCAGGGCCCCATCCAACTTGATTTTGACAGATATCACAGGGATGCACAGAAGGCTGAATAACTATACTGTCAAAGGAGATGAGGATCTTGGAGGGGTTTATGGAAGTAAAGAAGGGGAGGATGGGGAGCAGGAGTGATGGAGGGAGGGATGGGTGCAGCTAAGTCAGAGCCAACAAGGGTAGGAGAATTGGTGCAGGATTTGGCTGCTGATGAGGCATGACTGGGAGATGGGATGGAATGGGCAGCTCAATGACACAAAAATAGAAGAGTTCTCAAGGACCAGAATGATGTTTGGTGTTCATATCTGAGCCTGGGCAGGTCCCACGTTGGCCACAGCTGGAAGAGTAGATGGAAGTGAACATTCTGGCAAGCTCCTTGGCATGTCTTTTCCCTTCTCCTGTGTTGAGAGACCCTCCTCAGTGTCCCTGGTGAGGTTGAAGGAGAAGGTTTTTCTTGTGTAGCCCTGGACAGCTCCTGCAGAGGTGCTGGAAGGTGCTTGGCAATGCACTGCTCTGCCCCAGCCCTGGTGTGCTGCTGCTGTGCTGGCACTGCTGCCATGCCCCTGCAAAAACCCGCCAGCTGGGAGTGCAAATGGCTAAACTCAATCTTGATAAATCAAAAGGAGAATGGCTTTTCATATTACAATTATATAAATGTTGTAAAATGAGTTTTAATGCTTTGCCTCTGTGCCTTCCAAAATGAATTAAACAAATTGGTTTTACACCCACCCATGGAACAATGCTTGATTAGTTACAACTCTCTTCTGTTTCAATACATATTATGATTGTCAACAGCATGAGTAGGGCTTTTGTTTGATCAAGAGATACCAAACTAGTGAGAAGCATTTGCTAAATACTGAGAGCTAAGAAGAGTAATTTTTTCAAGGTCTATAGTGCTCATGGACTGGAATGAATGGTTTTCAGGCCTGAAGAACACATGAGGTTTCCCACTGGTGAAAGGATGCAGAGTTGTGCTGCTGGTGGAATGTATATATCTGCAGCCAGTCCCCCTGTGGTGTCCTGGCAAGGAGCTGGACATGGCACCATGGAAAAGTGCTGTGCAGGCTGTCAGCTGGAAATGGGAGTGCTAAACAAGTGCTTTGCTCAAAGCAGCTCTAGCAAGCAGAGTGCAGGCTCTCTTCATTGGTTGTAAAGGCAGATTACAATTTTTATGCGTAGTATGGACTGGACAAAGTGAGAATATCATCTGACAGCTGACCCCAGCTGACCAGAGGGAAATCCCACACCATATGGCATCGTGCTCATCATATAAAGCTGGGGGAAGAAGAAGGAAGGGGAGGATGTTCAGATTGATGGCATTTGTCTTCTCACGTCTCCCATCACCCATGAGGAAGCCCTGCTTTCCTGGGGATGGCTGAACAGCTGCCTGTCCATAGAAACCACTTTGGAATTAATGACTTGTTTTGATTTGTTTGTGCATGTGGCTTTTGCTTTCCCTTTTAAAATGTCTTTATTTCTATCCATGAGTGTTCTAACTTTTATTCTTCCAATGCTCTTCCCTATCCCACGGGGGGAGTGAACAAGCAGCAGTATGGGGCTGAGTTACCATCTGGGGTTAAACCACAATGCATGTGAGTCTTGCTCGGTTTTGTTCTTAGAAAGTTCTGTTCATTGTTTTCTTGGATGGTGATTGATGATGTAATATGCAAAACAAAGAACCCTTTAGTCTTTAAGAACTTGTCCAAGCCAGCAACCAACATCTGCTGCTTTCTGTGTCTGCCTGAGCAGTGGTTACCTGCAGCATGGCCTTGCTGACTCCTTCAGATGGGTGGCCACACCTTCATAATGGACATATATTTCAAACAGAAAACAAGCTATTTTCTCTGCATTTATTTTCCTTTATGCTAAGGATTAACTGTCCTTTACTGATGCTGGAGAGCAAGAAAAACAGCAGAAATTATCTTTCATCATCTATGTTCAGAACATCTCACCATTTTGCAGCCTCTGTGCCAGTTGTGATGTGCTCGCAGGCTGAGAGATCCCATGGAGACATGAGCCCCTGCTGGGGACTGGGAACAACTGAGAGCTGTCTGGATAAGCTCCCTCACAGTTCATGCCCCAAACTGAGCTCTGCTGCTGTGTTCAAATGCAACACCCGACTGCCCTCTCCCCTTGAAGCAGAAAGAAAGTGCAGGTGTTGCCTGTGGAGACTTCATCAGCTTGAACCTCTTTTCTTCAAGAGGGGCACTATACTCCTCCTGATACCTTAAGTTTTAGCTTTCATATTATCCAGATTCTGTACCGCATTACTATATAACTCTGAACTTCATATAAAGTGCTAGCAAGTTTTCTTCAGTTTAGTTAGACAAAACAATCCTTTTCCAGCCTGAGAGCCAAGGATACTGTTGCAACTTCAGGCTCAAAAAGTATAAACAATGGTGAATTGAGGAGAGCAAGCTGAGAGGATGGGACTTCATAACCTGGAGATGTAATTGGACAATTAACCCCAATATGTAAATAGATCAAAACTTACAAAAGTGTGAAAACGTGTGACCTGTCATCCATCTTGGGTGGAGCCTCAGCCAGGCTCTTGTACTGCCCAAGGTGTGTCCTTTGAAGGCCTTTTAATAAATATCTACTTTATTCCTTTAACACTGTCTACCCTCTGCTCTAGGTAGCCTCTCAAGGCATCACTCCCAGCCCAGGAAAAATGTCCTGGCAGAGCTGAGGTGGACCCTGGTGCCACCAGAGCTGAAAGAGCCCAGTGGATTCACCCTGCAGCCTAGATGGCCAAAGCATGGCTTGAGCTTTAAACTGCTCAGAGAATCTGTGTGGTGGTGTGACACATGTCAGTGTCCCTCTATCCAATAGATCACCTCATCCTGCCCTCCAGCTCCATCTCAGCTCACGAGAAAAGGCAGATTGGAGCCCAGAGCCCAGTGTGGGCAGCAGTGCAGGGCTGCACACGTGGGATGCTGGTGTGACACAGCCAGGCTCCCACTCCCCAGCTGTGGGCTGCAGGAGGGTCCAGCTCGGGGGGAGAAGCAGGAGCAGCCTTGGAGCCTGCAGAGTGCTGTAACACAGTTTGCTTTGCTTAAAAATCACCCAGCTCTTGGCTTTAGTTAAGTAAGGAATATTTAAAAAAAATATTTACTTCGTTTTTTTAAGCTTTTAATTGACTGCAGTTTATGAGATTATACCTGAGTAAAGGAAGAAAAAGCTTTAAAAGTGCCCCATTGCATGGAAATATGTCTAGACTGTTTACAACTGCTCCTTGTTTTGCATTCAGAGCCCGGATCTTTGACTTCCTTTTGGACTATTCTCCACTGGAAATGAGGATTTGCTGCCAAAATAGCCCACCTTTTCCTGAAAGATTTGGTATTAATAGTTTTGACAGAACATCTTGTTCCTGTGTAATACAGGAGTCAGTCTAGCAGTTGGTCCTGATCAGAGGTACAAAATGCAGTTGCTTGACTTTTATTTTGAGATGAAATAACTGCAGTTTAACAGAAAAAATCTGAGCTTATGCCAGCATGTATCTCTTGAAGTTAGGAGGAAAGTGTTGGTGTTAATGGTGTAGCAGATTACTGTTCTTGCTTTTATTTAAGGAAATGAGTAATTTTTATTAAAATGCAATGTGTGTGATTTGGAGTATTTCAGAAATGCAGTTGTGGTGTTTCAGGTCCCCAGAGAGGTCTTTTCTCATCCTCTCTTCTTATGAATGGATGTGGGGGTTTAGATAAATCTTTGGCTTTTGCCCAGGCCTCTGGCAGCAGGCAGTAGCTTTATCGAGGTGGCCAGCACCCCAAAACCCACTCTCATTCACAACTTCTTTAATAATGGCTGATTCAGTCTATTATATAATTAATTATTTATTTAATAGACAGAAAACTCACAGACATGAGACTTAAATTAATGTCACACAGGAACAAAAATAAAAAGAGGAAACTACTAGTAGATATACACAGCTCGAGGTTAAAGGTACCTATTAACGTTACAGCTCGTGAAGAAATAATAAAACTTAGGATTCAATGTATCTTACATATGTGTGCCCCTTCATCCAATGGTTGGTAGGGCGCACATCAAGATCCTTTTCCTCAATCCCCAGAGAAGTAACCACACCACCCAGGTCCAGGCTCTGGGGAGAGGTCTCCCACACTTTCAGGGTGTGTGTGTAGAAGCCTTCTGCCTCTGTGATAACTTTTGTTTATCTTTTATAGTTTGTAAAACAGTGTTTATTTCCTTTGTCTCTTCCCACATCAGCTCTCCAGACTAAGATGTTGATTCTTAGCTGAGGCCTGACCCTTTTGGCCCAGGGAAGATGCCAAAATCCCTGCTGGCTGAACCTTTCAGCCCCTGGGTTATCTCTCCTACATGCACCAGCCCTCTGTGGTAGAGGGGGTTAAAAATCCTGCCACATCCCCTGCAAACCCAGCGTGTGTGGGCATCCCCAGAGCCGGCTCCCTGCTGCCCGTGCCACCTGCACAGGACAGGGACTGCTCTGCAGCTCAGCACAGCCACAGGGAAGAATCTCTGCTGATGCCTTTGCTGAAGCATCATCAAGCTCAGATGCTCTTGACCTGGTACATGTAATAAGAGCAATTCCAGACTTGGCTAAAAGCTTCTTTGGAAAGGCTCATGACACCTTCTAATTTATTCTTGGTTTCCACTGTTTTGATTTTGGTTGCTATTTTTAATGAGCAGCCTCTGCAGCCATGTGAGAGGGAATTAATTATCTTTGATAATGATTGCTTGTTTCTTGTGGTAGACAAAAAAAGGCAATTTTTACTCTTTCAAGACTTTTCCCAAGCAGAGCTTAATAATTAATGCTGCAGTCTGTAACACACTAAGTGAAAAGGCATTTTGTGACACCAACAGCTCCTGAGTGTTTTCAGGCTATTTTACTTTGCTCTGTACCTGTGATTGCTGGATGGCTGTATACAATTATTGCTACTTATAATTTGATTTTTTTCCAGCAATTAAACAATATTGTAATTTATTCTGCTAGGCAAAGATTTCTCTGCTTGTACATAAAACTATGTTTGTACATGACAAAAATGCATCCTTTTTCCACACAAAGGATGAAGTGTAATTGTAGAAAGAACAGTTAATAATGGCTTGAGGGGAATAGAGTTTTTACCAATCTCTGTGACTGGCAAAATTCCATAATGCCCTTCTTAACACTGTTGCTTGAATTTACCTAAATTAATGGAAGGGACCAATCCACCAGCTCAGTGAGGCTTTGAGCTGCTAACAGCATTTGTTAAAGAAAATGGGCCCAGACTTTTAGGTTTTTGTAGAATTTTATTATTTTTGTTATTCTCTCTTTTCTTAAGACAAAATCACTACATCAGTGCTACTACCAGTTTGGGACTGGGCTTCTGTTGTTCAAGTAAATCTAAGTTCCTAATTCAAACAGAAAATATTTTGTATCTATTGATTGAACAAAATCAGAAAGAAGATACCTGGTATTATTAAAGCTAAGAACTTAAAATTTGCTTTAGCAACACAAAGATCCTTTAATCCTAATAATGTAATCCTTTTTTCCTACCAAATTTTTATTTAGAGAGAATATTTTCTAAAGAAAAAACCCTGATAATCAAGTTGAAAGGAAAAAAAAGCATCAAGTGCCATTTGAGAAGGGGTATAAAGTGGATAAGGGGTGAGGGTAGGGGAAAACCATGCTTGGTTCTGCTGGTAGCTCTCAGGTTGTGTTGATTTTGACCTTGTTTCTGAAGAGGAGGACAATTGCAGATGAAAGCACACATGCAGAGAGGGACAGAGCACGAAGCACAAGGCTGCACTCTGGCTCTGCTGTTTGCAGTTCAGTTATTGCAGCTGCAGGAGGACTGTGGAGGTTTCCAGCACAAATCCCCATGGCCCCAAAATTCACTGCTTGGGTGCTTACCCTCGGTGCCATCTATCCAAAGGTTTGCCAGCTGATTGCAGAAATGCTGAGTGACTGCAGGAATGACAAATTTGTCTGGTCAAAATAGGTCAGTAAAAGCATATTTGTCCAAGGCCACACTGTAAATCAGAGGGTGGAAAGCAAGGGGAAATCTCTTCCCAGGAGTTCACGATGGAGACAAGAGAAGCTCTAAATTTCACATTTTAAAAGCAATTGACAGTGTGTAGTCACTCCTAAGGGTATGTTGGAGCCCTGCTGATGGAAAGACTTGCAACCCTGAATTTTCACCTTTCCATAATACACCTGAGAAGTGGCATCTATTTTTCTATTGTATGCAGCAGCAAGCAGAAAAAGTGTTTGCAGTTTTTCATAAATAAGACCTGTGTTTGTAGCCCTCATACATTTGTCTTACCTTTTCTGTCTCTGCAAATAGCTTCTGAGCAGCACAAGGCCAGTGTAGCCAAATGGTTTATTTAACACTGTGGGCATCCTGCTCCCAGGGATACGAGCACATATCACTGCTGATTCCACTGGAAGCCAGGCTGAGACCCAAGAGAAAACAGCAGGACTAAGAGATCTATTAGATGAAAATGGTGCCTCCTCCCAGCATGGGAACAAAGTCTCAGGAGCATTTAACTGACCACAGTGAGTGCATCTTGTGTCATGGAGTGCCTTCTCTTGGCTGGCCTTGCAGTGCGTGTTTTGGAGGGGATGCAGGTTCATTCTCCCCCACCTTGGGGCTGGGGCTGAGCATTTACCTGAGAAAATCCTAACAGAATACTTTGTTTCTCATCCATGCAGCATCCAGCAGTGAGGAACTGAGGGATGCAGGGGGTGAAAGAAGGTGGGTGGCAGCCCAACAGCAGACCACAGTGCTGTAAGCAGCTGGGACAGGTATGAATCATTTCTACCCCAGTGCTGCCTGGGGAATTGTGTATCATCTGCTTTGGTTTTCACAAGTTCTTGAATTGTGAAAACACCTATAAAACCTGAGAATCTAATTTTTGGTTGTTTTCAGTAATTTTCAGAAGCATCAATCTTTGGTAGAACCCTATCAAGTTTCCTCACAGCATCTTCTCTTTAGCTAAGTTTTTTTTCCCACAAAGTCAAGTTCAAGTAATTATTTTCTCAAAGCAGGACTTCCCATTTCTCATGACGTATTTCTTTTTATTCCGCTTATAGACAAAGAATTGAAAAAAGCTAACAAAACTATCCACATATGACAAAGAGAAGAAAATAAAGAGGGTATTTATTAGTTAACTGATGTATGAACAGGCAGGAGGAGATCACTTTGGTCTAAGAAGTGAATGTTTTGGCATAACTGTAGCCAAAACTCTTTGCTGTCTGCTTCCCCAGTGTACAAGTAGTTCTGCAACATGGCTACTAAAGAATGCTGTTAACAGAGTTTAAAATATTATTTTTATCTGTAAAGTTAGATGGAAGATCTGTCTAGTCAGGATTTTATTATAAGTACGAAAAATATATGAAATTCTGATGGAGGGAAGTATCTTTTGACATCTGCATGGTTCCACTCAGGTGGGGGGAATGCAATCTGGCCATTGATCCCAGCCTGCAGAGCAATATGAGAGTCCAGCCACTGCTTGGTGACAGTGAGAAAGCTCACTCTTAGTTCTGAACTCTCTGCAGAGGAAGTTGTTTTCCACCTCAGGGACGAGAAAACCAAGCAACTAAACAATCATTTTAGATTTATGTCCTCACACAGATGCATGTATCCACACACACATTCACCTATAGAGGGAATCAAGTCAAATGCTCAGTCACACTGAGACCAGAAAATGACAGGGACACTGATGGTGTCCATAAATAGATCAGAGATCACAGTGAACTACAATCATTTGGGAAAGGACAAGGCTGGCCCAAGACCACTGGTGTATGAGCTGCTGTAAGTAAAGCAGACATTAGAGGCATGTTGGTGAGTATCAGAGCAAGCTGCCCAAACTGTTGACACTGCAACAAGGATTTTTGCAAGATAGGAGCTGCAATGCAAGGTAGCAGACTTGCTAAGTTGGTCCCTTTCAGTCATACAGTTTATGTTTCTAAATTTCAAGTAATTAATGTACTTTCACACTAATTATGCCTATATATTTGCATGTTCTACCATACAGTACATGATGCCTTCTCTTGCCTTCCCTCTACGGGAAAATGTGTGTGTGGATATACACATCTGTGTAGAAGACAAGAAATGAAGGATACTGCCACTGCAAATGGTTACATGTTTATCATTAACATCACAAAATTGTAACTCTCTATCTGCTTAATCTAGTGTCTTTCTTCTGCAGCAATAAGTACTCATTTTTTGTAACACTCTGTGGCTGAGTATTAGAAGGAAGAAGGAAGGGTAACCACATCCTGCATTACTTTTAAACAGTGCCCACTGGAAAACACTGCTAGGTACTCTGGCTTTACATCTGTCAGCCTCTCTAAGCTATAGATGCTGTAATTAGTCATTAGTCCAATGGGTCACTTTCATTTCCTCATCCAATCTCTTTTTTAGTTATTTTTTACTTTATTTGCACATTTCTTCCTACTGCAAGGGTGGATGCTCTTTCTGAAGTGTGAGTACGTCCCAAAGCCATAGCTGCAGAAATATGGGTGAGGAAAGAAGAACTCTGACACCAAGCTGAGTTTTCTCTCACAGATGTTTTATGAAAAATCTTTCTGTTTCTGTAGCAGGTGCTTGAAAATAAAAAATTGGCAGAGAACCCTATTCTAGCTCATGTCTTTAGCTGACTGGTGAAAAATGCAGTGTGTTGGATGTTTGTCATGTTCCTTAAGATACAGTTTAAAAACATACATTTTGATGAGGTGCTGATCCTCTCTGATTACTGTCCTGATTATGGGATCCTTGTCCATAGGTTGCTGCTGGGAGCCTTGTGGGGAATCACAACTCCTCTTGTACAGCATCAGCAATGTGCAAGAAAGCACCACAGGACTGAAGGGTCCTGCTTCTGAGAAAGCCATTACATCCTTCTCTGCTGCCACACAAAGCACAGAGGGAGGTAAAGCTGGGTGTTTCTCCCACTGACATGAGATAATAATTCTAAGCCAGCAAAATATGGAACAGTATCTTTCATCTGTGTGAACAGGTCTGTTAACTAACAAGGTGTGTACAAAAACCGCTGACAGGATTTGAAGCTTGAGAGTATCAGTATCTGGAAAAAACGAAGTTAAGGTGTTTGGAGGAGAACAGGAAAGAGAGAATGTGAAAGAATCATTCACTTTCTGTAATTGCCACTAACAGTTTTTCCTTGATTTAACTGTTGCAGATCTGAAATTTGATATGTATCATGCTTATCTGCTAAAACTAGGTTAGAATCAAGTTTGCTTCCCTGCAGATAGGCATTGCATACTTACATCTTAGTTCTTCCTAAACAGATGAAAAATGATGACTTCTGAATGGTTGTGTCATTCACACAATGTTTGGATGTGTTTGTTTTTATTACACCACTGTTGATGTTTCTGTTATTTTTATTCCTCAAGTGTTGTGTTACTCCTATGCTGCTATTTCCTACTTTGTCAGTTCTTTCCTGGAGGAGGTTTCTCTGGAGTCTATTTATCTTTCAATTAGAAAT